ATTACATCAGGCAAATCTGCAGAAAACCTGAGGTACCTGGTCTTTTTAGTTGCCTCAGAATGCATGTGAAAGCTGGACAACGAAAAAGGATTAAGAATCGAGGCATTCACTGTGGTGTTGTCAAGGGGTATTGATTATAATAACGTGGACTGTCAAAACAATGAACAAATTAGCTTTAGGAGAAATACTTCTTTAAGTTGAGGATGGAGAGACTTTAGCTCACTTACTTTGGTTATGTCATCAGGAAAGACCATTAGCTAGAAACAGACACCATGTTTGTAAAGTAGAAGGTCAGCAAAAACAAGGAAGACCCTCCATGAGATGAACTGACGCAATAGCCACAACCATGGACTCAAACATACTCACAGTCATGAAGAGGGCACAGAACTGGGTGATGCTTTGTCCTGTTATACGTGATGTTGCCATGAGTCGGAGCTCAGTGGCAGCTGACAACATGCTTATGAACAGAGGGACAAGGAAATTCCTTGGGAAAGGGAAAAAATGATTGAGGCTTCTGTATTCTTGGAGGAATGACAGTGTTCTGAGGGAGCCCATTTTTCAAAATAAATTGCCCTTACTCCCCTCTTTTATGTATATGATGGACTCTTAAGAAATGTGACTGCGTGGTGACATGCTCATAAGACAGTACTGGTTAAACCTGAATTCAACAGTTATAACTAACTTATAACAGGAACTAATTAAAAACGTAACCAATGTAAGTTAAATTAGGAGAATTAAACCCTCATAAGGAGCTCTGGTGGCGTAGTGCCTAAGGCACCTGACTGCTAACCAGAAGGCTGGCGGTTCAAACTCACCAGCCACTCCTCAGAAGGAAGGTTGGGCAATGTACTTCCATAGTGATACCACCTCAGAAACAAACCCAAGGAGGGTTTGCTGTGAGTTGGATCCATCTCAACAGCAGTGAGTTTGGGTTTTGGTTTTAAACCCTCATAGGGTTGCTCCTGAGATATGCAGATGATACAACTTTGCTTGCTGAAAGTGA